CTGGGCTCCGGCGATCCTTCCGCCTCCGCCTTCCGAGTAGCCGGAATTACAGGCATGCGCTACCATGCCCGGCTGATTTTTTTAATTTATTGTAGAGATGAGGGTCTCGCTGCCCAGGTGGGTCTCGAACCCGCGGGCTCAGGCAATCCATTCACCTCAGCCTCCCAAAAGCGCGGGATTACGGGCTGAGCCACCGAGCCTGGCTTGGATTGATAGACTCTTAAAGACTCCAGGGTCCTCAGACACTGTTTGGCCCAGCCTCCTTCCCTCAGGTTGGGGATCTAAGAGTCCCCAGCTTTTCCCCCTGAAGGAAGACAATCACCGAGGACCAGAAATACTGCCAGGGAGGGAAGGGAGACGTCAACAGAGGAAGGGTGGGCTTGGTACTGCACTTGGACCCCACTTGAGACATCAGCGATCATGACCCTGGATGCTGCTTGACAGGTCTGGAGTAGCTGATCTCTGGCATGTGGGCCCTCTAGCGACCCATTCTCCTTACCAATGTCCTATAAGGAGTCCTTCCCCGTGTCTGCCTGAAACCTCTCCTGCTCTGCTTTTAGCTCCTCCTGTTCTTGCTACCCTCCTGATCTGGGGATCGAATTTCTGCATCTAGTGGCTTTACTGCTTATTAAGCTTCAAATTGGAATGGCTAGTCTGTAAATCACAGGGAAGGGGGGAAGCCCTCATATCATCGAGGATCACCAAGATCCGGTCTGCCCCCATCCCTGGGAATGCTTCTCCCCCATTCGCTCCACCCCCATCGCCTGGATGCAGAGAGATTGACGGAAGGCAGACTAATGCTGCCATGTATCAAGGCTCGAGTCCTCTGACCGATTAAGTATGGATGAAATTAGGCCCCCTAATTTGCTATCCTTCAGTCTCCCAGCACATGGGGAAAAACTCTCTGCTTCTCTCTTCCAGGGCTTGCGCATCATTTTTGCAGATGGCTCTCGCATCATCTTCCGCCTGAGCGGCACCGGGAGCGCAGGCGCCACCATCCGGCTGTACATCGATAGCTATGAGAAGGACGTCGCCAAGACCAACCAGGACCCCCAGGTAATGCCCCAGCCCTGGGCCCTGGCTAGTTTGTCTATTCGAGAGGATGATGGTTTTTCCATCAAGCCTGTTATTGACGTCCATTTCTCGGGTGACCCAACAGGGTACCAGCTGGGCTTGCTTTCTTTCAGTGTGTCCTAACATGACAACCATCATCCTAAAAACCATCATCATCATCATCAGCAGCAATTATCAGAGCATTTACTATTTGCCAAGCTCCATTCTTAGCCCGTTACATGAACATATTTTTAATTCTCAAGTGAGGTAGAGTCTATTATTATTCCTACTGTAGGTCAGGAAACGGAGGCACAGAAAGTTTTTTTTTGTTTTTTGATTTCTTGAGTTGGAATCTCATTCTGTCGCCCAGGCTAGAGTGCAGTGGCATGCTCATGGCCACCACAGCCTCAACTTACTGGGCTTAGCCAATCCTTCCACCTCAGCCTTCCGGGTAGCAGGAACCACAGGCGCATGTCACCATGCCTGGCTAATTTTTTGATTTATTGTAGACACGATGTCTTGTCAAGTTGCCCAGGCTGGTCTCAAACCCCTAGGCTCAGACAGTCCTTTCACCTTGGCCTCCCAAAGTGCTGGGATTACAGGCTGAGCCACTCTGTCTGGCCTTTTTTGTTTTTGAGTTGGAGTCTCACTCCATTGCCCAGGCTGGAGTGCAGTGGTGTGCTCACGGCCACCCCAGCCTCCACCTGCTGTGCTCAGGCGATCCTTCTGCCTGAGCCTTCCAAGTAGCTAGAACTACAGGCAGGTACCACCATGCCCAGCTAATTTTTTTGTTTATTATAGAGATGAGGTCTCGCCAAGCTGCCCAGTCTGGTCTTGAATCCCTGGGCTCAGGCAATCCTCTCACCTTGGCCTCCCAAAGTGTTGGGATTATAGGCGTGAGCCACCATGCCCAGCAACAGAAAGGTTAAGCAACAGTCAGCAGGCTTACAAGCCTGGCAAGTGGTAGATTCAGCATAACTAGTTTGTAAGCCAGCCCCTCCTCTAATATTTGGATCTGTCATCAGTTGTCACTTTGCTTGGTGTGGTCACCCGCTCTGAGAGAACACACACTGGTTCTAGATTTGTTGGGGGTGGGAAGGGGCAGTTTCATGTGTCTTCACAGAAAAGGCTGCAGACTTGCAGCCTAGTGGGTTTGGGTACCCGGCTACCCCCTAAGAGTCTGCAGAAGTTTTTCAAAGTAAGGAGGGACTCTGCTAGCCTAGGGTGGGACAGGGAACTTGGAGGACAACCACCAAAATGGAAGAGCCAAGGGGCAATGATGTACACTCAAGATTACCTGTGACACTCATCTTGACAAATGCTCCCCAACCAGAGCTCCATAGCCAAAAAGAGTTGAGGAAGTGTCATGGAAGTCACGAAGTGCCCCTTCTGGGGATTTACAACACACACACTGCACTTGATTTATTTATTTATGTATTTATGTGTGTATTTATTTATTTTTCGGGTTAGAATCTCACTCGTCGCCCAGACTGGAGTGCAGTAACATGCTCCTGGCCACCACAACCTCGACCTGCTGGGATCTGGTGATCCTTCCGCCTCAGCCTTCTGAGTAGTTGGAACTACAGGCACGTGCTACCACACCTGGCTTATTTTTTGATTTATTGTAGAGATGAGGTCTCTCGCCAAGTTGCCCAGGTGGGTCTCAAACCTGCGGGCTCAGGCAATCCACTGACTTTGGCCTCCCAAAGTGCTGGAATTACAGGCTGAGCCCGGCCCACACTGCACTTTAAAGGCTCCAAGACTTTCAGGAAAGGTACCCATTTAAAAAACATCTATTGGCCAGGCTTGGTGGCTCAACCTGTCATTCTAGCGCTTTGGGAGACCGAGGTGAGTGAATTTCCTGACCCCACGGGTTCGAGGCACCTTGGTGAGACCTCGTCTCTATAGTAAATCAAAAATTAGCTGGGCGTGGTAGTGCATGCCTGTAGTTCCGGCTACTTGGAAGGCTGAGGCTGAAGGATCACTGGAACCCAGCAGGTCAACGCTGGGATGACTGTGAGCATGCCATGACACTCTAGCCTGGGTGACGGAGTGAGACTCCAACTCAAAAAAAAAAAAAATCTGCCATCAGGCACAGTGGCTTATGCCTATAATCTCAGCACTTTGGGGGGCCCAAGGCAGGAAGATTGCTTGGGGCCAGGAGTTTGAAACTGACGTGGGCAACATAGCAAGACCATGACTCCACAAAGAAAAGAAAAATTCAAAAATTAGCCAGGCATGGTGGTGTACACCTGTAGTCTCAGCTACTCAGGAGGCCAAGGAGGGATGACCAGGATATTGAGGCTGTGGTGAACTGTGATCATGCCACTGCACTCCAGCCTGGGCAACAGACTGAGACCCCAACCCAAAATAATAAATAAATAGCATTTGCTGAAGGACCTGAGTAGACATTTCTCCAAAGCATACATATAGGTGGCCAACAAGTATATGGAAAGGTGGTCCGTATCACTAATCATCAGGGAAACGCAAATCAAAACCACAATGAGATGTCACCTCAGACCTGTTAGGATGGCCATTATCAAAAAGACAAGAGGTAATAAGTGTTGGCAAGAATGACGAGGAGAGGAAACCTTTGCCCATTATTGGTGGGAATGTAAGCTGGTACAGCCATTATGAAAAACTGTATGGCAGGTCCTCAAAAAATTAACAATAGAGCTAACGTATGATCCAGTGATCCCACTACTGGGTATATGTTCATAGGAACTGAAATTGGTATCTTGAGGAGATACTGCACTCCCATGTTCATTATACCATTATTCACCATAGTCAAGGTATGGATCAACCTAAGTGCCCATTGACAGATGAATGGATTTAAAAAATGATATATATATAGTAAGTCCCCTACATACAAACCTTCAAATTATGAACTTTAAAGACACAAACCTGTAGTTTTTAATGTTTTAATTCTCTCCACCAGATGTCAGTATAACCTGTTAAATACATACAGTACTATATAGCCAATTGTATTAGTTGGGTACCTAGGATAACTTGGTTGGACTTAGAACAAATTGGACTTACAAACATGCTCTCGGAACAGAGCTCGTCCGTATGTTGGGGATGTATTGTATATGTGTGTGCATGTGTGTAATATTTTATGTGTGTGTGTGTGTGTGTGTGTGTGTGTGTGTGTGTGTGTGTGTGTATTGCAATGGAAAATTACTCTGCTTTTTAAAAAAGGAAATTCTGCTCGGCTATTTGCAATGTGGATGAACTTGGAGGACGTTATGCTAAGTGAAATACGCCAGGCACAGAAAGACAAACACCGCATTATCTCATTATATGTTGAATCTGAAAAAACGTTGAACTCATAGAACAGAGTAGAGGGATGGTTACCAGTGGTTAGTGGGGGGCAGGGGAATGGGGAGATGTTGGTCAAAGGGCACAAAATTTCATTTGTGTCGGCAGAAGCTCTAGAGGTCTCATATACCACATGGTGGCTGTAATTAATATCACTAGATCATATACGTGGAGTTTACTCAGAGACTAGATCTTAAGCATTGTCACTATCACCACCACAACAAAAAAGTAATTATGTGACGAGATCGCTATGTTAATTAATTTGATAGCAGTAACCAGTTCACTACGTATATGTATACTAAAACATCATATTGTATTTCTTGAATATAAACACTTTTTATTTAAAAATTAAGGAAGAAGGGTTTTGTGTTTGTCTTTTGAGTGTCAAGATCACTGCCTGGCCCAGGGTCGATACAAAGAATGAATGAGCGACATTTCCTCTGAACCGCAGTACTCAGGAGGTGGCATGGCCCTGAGAGGCGCGAGCTTCCCACAATGCCCGGGTGTCCCACCATCTGGCCAGGGAGTGACCTTCCCTTGCTTTGCAACTGCTGAGCCCCAGTCCCAGCACTTTGTGGGGACTGTCCAAACCCTAAGGGCAATGGCAAGTGACGGTCTCAGTACCTGGAGTTGATGTTCCTTCTCATCCAGGTGCAATGACTTGGTGGAGATTTAGATACAAGAAAGCCACAGTTGGGAGCAGAAAATGTGCTGACTCCTTGCCCTTGCCATTGAGTCACTTGGTCAGATCGCTGCGCTTCTTTGGGTGTTGATTTTTCTCATCTGCAAAACAGGCAGTTTGACTAGATGAGTACTTGTTTTTATATTTAAAAGTATTTGCTTATTAAAGCAACAGAATTTTGTTTTCCTTTAAATGAGAGGTAGACCTGTTGGTGGGGAGTGGGGGAGTAGGGATGGGTGTTGCACTTTGGAAAATCTCTTTGGGTCCAGTGTGGGAATCACATTGGAGGATGCAAAGGTCAATGTGGCACCCTGCTCCAGGTGAGAGAGAGAACACGGACTTAGCAAGAGGGATGGAGAGGTGTGGGGGTGCAGTTGAGAGATAACGTAGAAGGTAAAGTCACTTAGGCTTGCTCATAGATTGGCCATGCAGAGTAGGTAAAGGAAGTTGTCAAAATGTCAGTTTCATTCCAGCACTTTGGGGGACCGGGGTGAGGGGAATGCCTGAGCCCACAGGTTCGAGAACAGCCCGGGCAACTTGGCAAGACCTTGTCTCTACAATAAATCAAAAAATTAGCCAGGCCTGGTAGCACACGTGCCTGTAGTTCCGGCTACTTGGAAGACTGAGGCAGGAGGATCGCCGGAGCCCAGCAGGTTGAGGCTGCAGTGGCCATGAGTGTGCCACTGCACTCCAGCCCGGGCAACGGAGTGGGACTCCAACTCAAAAAAAACGATGTCAGTTTCTTATTGTTCATTTCACATGAAAGACTGTGGTGTTGATCCACTGAGATAGAAACTGCAAGAAATAGGTTTTGGGGGAAAGAACATGTGTTTGTATTCAGATGGTGGAACTTGAGGAGCCTTGGAGACCTGGGAGTAAACAGTCCGACAGGCGGGGCGGGAGCTAAGGGCTGTGTTTAGAGAACATGCTGGAAAGGTGCTTCTCTTTGTGTCTCCCTCAGGTCATGCTGGCGCCCCTTATTTCCATTGCTCTGAAGGTGTCCCAGCTCCAGGAAAGGACGGGCCGCACGGCACCCACCGTCATCACCTAAGAAGACTGGCCAGATGCGGGACGTCCCTCCGCCCAGGTCCCTCCGAGTCATCGACTGAAGAGCGTGGACAGAAACAGTATATTCGCCAGGCTTCTAGGACTTAATTTTTCCACTAACCAGTTGACGAACGGGGCATTTGCGAGGCACTGCCATTCGGGGTGCCCTTGGGAGCTCTGTGCAAAGGAGGGAAAGAGCACCTGGGGCTTATCCTCCTCTCAGTTCCTTCCCATGCCCTTCTGCACTGCTCTGCGTTTTGTCTCCTTAGCATCAGGCCCTGTTTACAAGGCGAGGTGGAGGCCGAGCATCTGCGCGTGAGGCCTCTTTCATCTTTAGGATGCCCCGGGGAAATGACGCGCAGGTTTCTTTCTCCTGGTGAATCTTCCCCCCATCTGCTGTTTACATGTGACCCGACAAAATGCCATCTCTGGTGCCTTCTGTCCAATCAGCTCTTGCCTCAGAGTGAGACGTACTTGTTTTGCAACTTAGTCCCATTCACAGATACTTTGGGATATTAAAGCAAGATAAGCTACTATTGCTTGTTGTCCTTTTTTTTCCTTAACTACAAAGTACTTTTCTGATTTCAGAAAGAAAACAGATTCTTTTTTGCGGAGGAGGGGAATGTTGCATTATGTTTTGATGTCCTAGCTGGAAAACAAAACAATCTCTGGGCTAGGTTGAAAATCCTCAGACTCAGGGACTGTAATTTTATTTTTTTATTTTTTTTACATCTAAATATTGCATCTTTACCTACGTGTGACTGTTAGAATACTACAGTTTCTCAGAATTCCAGAAATAATTTCTGTATCTTCCGTGATACAACAGATTTTAAATTATAGCAGGATCAACCGAACTCTGGATCCTTCCAAAGTAGACAGATTAAGCTTGACATGGTTAACCTGGAATGAAGAAAAGGAAGATGATTTTCAAGAGACCATGGTAGGTGGTCAGATAAGTGGGAACTAGGATTATGTTTATGATGTTGTTTCTAGATTTTAAAGCACTGTGCACATCGGAAAACAAAAGCTGTAACACTACATGTAATGCATTTTTGATTGCCAAGGCACATCCACAGAGTCACCTTGCCACACATGGACTATTCCAGAAAACCCAGCTCTGTGCCCCTCTCCCACCCAGGTGGACTCCCTGTTACAAGTGGTGAGGTCTGTTTCTGGGAAGAGATTTCCATTGTTGTCGCTTAACAAGGGAGTCCGGCTCGGCAGACAGAACTGTTCTTTGACAACAGTGACGATGATGACGATGGGAATGACGGAAATGAGGCTGAGGAGTACTCCGTCAGCCCCATGCCAGGCACGATTCTCAGTGCTTTTCACCCACTCTTCAAAGGTTCCCAGTGACGCTCTGAGGTAGATGCTCTGAATGTTCCCGTCTCATAGCTGAAGTCCAGTGGCTTGCCCAAGATCACACCAGTATGGAGTGACAAACGCCCCCAGACCAGGCAGCTGCAGGCTCTCCACCGTGTCATGCTGCCTCCTCTACTGACTGCCCACTTCTCAGCTATTTAGAGCAGGTAGAAGGGAGATGTACAGATGCCCCTGTGCTTATTAAAGAGCGTACTGGGTGCCTGGGGTGCCAGAGACTCAGAGTTTGGCATGATTGCTTCCCCAGCAATCTGGATATCTAGGTGTATCAGCTCAGAAATACGCCTTCACCCACGTTGGGTGTGCGAGGCTTGGAAAGGGAAGGCCGTATGACACACGGTCACTGCCGTCAAACTGCCTGAAAGACTAGCTCGGGAATCAAGTCCAGCACGAACAGAGAGTGGGTAGTCTAAACGCTGTGAGGTGTGTAGGCAATACCTACCGTTAGAATTTGTAGTTTCCAAGTACCTGTTCTGTTGCAGATGTTGGGTGCCATGCTTCCCAGGGACTCTCCAAGCGAGACATTATTCCTGTGTAGACTTGAGGTAAACTAAAGCTCGGCAGAAGCTTTGCCCAGCTTCTTGGCTTCCATGTGGCGGAAATGGGATTTTGATCCTGAGTCTCGTTCACTTTCCCTGACCCTTTCCCGCCTCCTCGTCTGCTGAATCAGCGGCAGATACTCCCAGTTCTGTGGCCCCTGGAACAGCTTCAAGAATTTCCTCCTCGTCCCTGACCGTAATTCAGCCGCGTTCTCTGACCCCACTTGGCCACACTTGGGAGCAAGAAGCTCAGGGAAAGAAGAGGGAGGTGGGCGTGGACAAGGGCCACTTTATCTCCCCCTCCGGCTTCCAGAGAGACCCCCGACACACATGCCCCAGAGAGGTGTGGGGGAGGGAGCCCCAAGAGGCAGAGTGGCAGCACACAACCAAGTCTCCCTGCCTCCCAGAATGGATGGGGCCTATGAATCAGGCTTGTTTTTTTTTCCGGGTGTGGTGAGGATTTCAGTGAGAAAATTGGGTTGGAACTGTTTGGGCCTGGCTCCGAAATTTCACTTTTCCCCTCCCTCTTGACATTCAGCTGTTATCTTGGAGAGGCAGTCTTCTGCTCCAGGCTGTTTCACAGGCCCAGAAGATGGTCAGGCTTCCAGGCACTGGGCCCTGCTTCGGGGAATAAAAGCAGAGGCCTAGCGTGCAGTGCTGGGGCATATCATTCTTGCTTCTAAAGCAGGAAATGTAGTTTGTGGTATAAGAATCCTCCAAAAAACATAGTACACCCTTTATGATTCTGCTCAGAACCTGCAGCAGGGGTGGGTATCAGTTTGACAGCCTTCATGTAGGACTCCCTGCCTCACCCTTGGGCCTTGACAAGGGCCGCCTCGTAGCCTTCTGGCCTTCACCCTTGCCCCTCCGTTCCATTCTCCTCATCACCAGCCAAATGCCCTTGTCTAGGCTACAGGTTCACCAAGACGGGCGGTCACTTACCCGCCAGCCCCCTTCCCTCTCCCTCCTGCCCCACATTCGGAGCTTCAGCCTGGGGAACCACTGCAGGTCCCTGGAAGCACCAGGCTCTCCTGCCTCCAGGTTTCGCCACCAGCTGCCGTCTCCACCTGAGTCACCGTTTCCTCAACCCATCTTCGCCATATTCCTGCAGCCCCTGCTTGGTCCTCAGTCCTCATCGTGAACGTCATCTCCTCCGAGAAACTTTTGCTCAGCCTTCGGTGTCTAGTCTGGGAGCTTTCTCTAGTGTTCCTGTAGCACCTGTCCCTGCCTCAGTGACCCTCTGTGCTCCTACGTCTTGCTTTCCATTTTTCCTACTGCCCTGGGAACTTCTAGAAGGTAGGGACTGCCCTTTGCACCAGGGTTTACCCAGGACCTGGGCCTGTGTCTGACACTCAGCAAAGGCCTCATTAAATATTTTTAAAGCTAATGAGTGACAGTTGCCTGGCAGTGTTTCTTTATGCTGTGATCTCCTCGACCTATGAGGGAGGATTATCTTAACTTTACAGGTGACAAGTGACATGACCAACTTACAGAGCTAGTAGCTGGCTCACCAAGAACTCTTTCAAAGGCATTGGAAGCTGAAAGTGGGAAATCTCCTGGGCTTGAGGGGGTGGGTGCTGGCAACAGATAGGAGTTATGTATCGTGGTCTCTTTGGATAAAACTTCTGGTTTTTTAAGACAGTTTCACTCTGCTGCCCAGGCTAGAGTGCAGTGGCATGACCACGACTCACCACAGCCTCAACCTCCTGGACTAAGGCGATCTTTCTGCCTCAGCCCTCCAAGTAGCTGGGACTACAGGCACGTACCACCATGCCTGGCTAATTTCTTTTTTGTATTTTTTATAGGCACAAGGTCTCGCTTTGTTGCCCAGGCTGGTCTCAAGCTCCTGACCTCAAGCTATCTTCCCACCTCAGCCTCCCAAAGTGCAAGGCTTACAGGCATGGGTCACCTCACCTGGCCAAAACTTTTCATGTGAATGTTAAAAAGTGTCTTCTCTTCCATTGCTACAAAAATTAATTGGGAGGCGTAGTTGAGGAAGAGTTCTACTGAATACAGAAAAGGGTTATTTTTCTTCAGGAAGTAGAATCAGCAAAAGCCAGAACCCATGATGGGGTGGAGTGGGTGCCCTGGCTCTGGGCCTCAAGTCGTCAGGGCACACAGCATATGCTTCTGGAAGGCTTGAGAGGCTCTTCTTGGATCCCATTGTCAGAACAAACAGCATCCCCACAAGTTGGTGTGTCATTATACAAAAGAAGTGAGATCACTGTCGGCGGGAGCGTGTCTCATGTCTGTCTGATTGTCCTGTGGAAACTTTTGAGGGCTCTGGCTTGGTTTTCACTAAATGCGAAAGCCCCACCTAGATCCAGTAAATTGGAATTGTGGGTGTGGGCTAATAACTATTTTCCAGAAAGCATGTCTTCTGTGATTCACTGAATGCAGCTCTCCAATTAACAGAAAAGCTAGTTAGGAGTAGCAATCTATTTGCTTTCCATGACAGTGCTGTTTCATAAAAGCTCCGTCTCCATTGGTTTCTGGCTTCATTTTTACACAGTGGTAGGAGGGCTATTATTATTCCAGATAAAGAAATGGAAATTCTGAGAGTGTATGTCGCCTGTGCAGAGTCCCATGAATATGATGAAAAAGAAAGCAGGGCCAGGCGCGGTGGCTCAAGCCTGTCATCCTAGCACTTTGGGAGGCCGAGGTGAGAGGCGTGCCCGAGCCCGCGGGTTCGAGACCAGCCTGGGCAACATGGTGAGACCTCGTCTCTACAATAAATTAAAAAATTAGCTGGGCGTGGTAGCGTGTACCTGTAGTTCCGGCTACTTGGAAGGCTGAGACGGAAGGATCATCAGAGCCCAGCAGGTCAACGCTGAGGTGGCTGTGAGTGTGCCACTGCACTGCAGCCTGGGTGATGGAGTGAGACTCCAACTCAAAAAAAAAAAAAGATTGAGAGAGCAGACCAACCACCTCCAATTGCTCCTAGAGGTTTGGAATTTTTCTCCCCCTTTAACCTTTGCTATGTAATACCACCGAAATCTAGTGATGTTACACTTTTGCATGATTTTATTATGCTCACAGACTCTGTGCGTCAGGAAATCAGACAGAAACAGAGATAGAAACTTGTCTGTGCTCCACAGTGACTGGGATCTCAGCTGGTATCTTAGTCTGCTCGGACTACTATAACAAAATACCATGAACTGGGTGCTCTATACACAATAGAAATTTATTTCTCACAGTTCTGGAGGCTGAGAAATCCAAGAGTAAGACACAAACAGATTCAGTGTCTGGTGAGGGCCTGCTTTCTGGTTCACAGATGGTGCCTTCTCACTGTCTGTCCTACCGTGGTGGAAGGGGCAAGGGGTCTCTCCTGGGCCTCTGTTATAAGGTCACTGATCCCTTTCATGAGGGCTCTGTCCTCAGGGCCTAATTGCCTCCCAAAGGCCCCACCTCCCAATGTCATCGCCTTGGGGATTAGGATTTCAACATGAATTTTGGAAGGACATCCAGACCAGCATTCTGCCCCTGATGCCCCAAGTTCATGTTCTTACGTACAAAATACCTTCATTCCATCCCAGTAGCCTCCAGAGTCTCACTGTACTCTAGCATCAACTCAAAAGTCTAAAGCCCAGAGTCTTTTCCAAATGCCAACTAAA